ACACAGCAATGTAACAATTTAAGAAAAGAAAATCTATTTCGACATATCCTTTGAGAACACCAGACATTTAAACAAAATATTTAATTTAATTTAAAATTAATTTAGCACAAAGCTAGTCCCTTGGAACCAAGCTTTACCCCCCGCTTGGTATTATACATGTGTAGATCGTTTTGCCAGATCTTTTACTATTAACTCCATCACTAAACTGAAAATACAAAAAATAAATATAGCCACCTTAATAATCTTTTGTCTGTTCGGGTAGTCTCAGACATCTGTGGATCATTTGGACCCCAAGCCCTAAAATTATTCAAAATAATAGGGCAAAGGTTACGTTTAATCACATGTGATGCTTCTACCTAAGACAAAGAATATTAATAAATTGTCGATCCAAATGTATATCTATACATAGGTCATTAAGCCCAGCCGACCAAATCTAAATATATTATTTTATTTTTTTTATTTCTCTTCTTTTAATTATATATTTTTATAAAGTTATAGTATATTAATTATAATTTTAATATTCTTTTAATAAATGATCAATTCACATATTAAAAATAAAATTAATCATTTGAATATATTATTTAGATTTTATACATATTTTTAGAAGTAACTAGTTACTTTTGGCAGTTAAATTTCAAAAAATATAATTAGTTACAGTTACTAGTTACAATTTTTAAAATATAACTAGTTACAGTTATTTTTTAGCAAAAAATGTAACTAGTTTCTTTCACTTTTCTCTTTCTATTTTTTATTTCACCTTCTCTCTATTTTTTATTTCACATTTTATTACCCCGTATTCCTACCTATCTTTCTTTTTTCCTTCGATTTCCCAATTCCTTTCATTTCTCCTGCTTCTTACTATTTTTCTTTTCCCTTTCCTCCTATAATTCTTAGAAAAAGTTTAATTCTAACTAATTCTGGATAGTTACTTTTAACTAGTTACTTTAACAACACTGGTAAAAACCTGAGCATAATTATCCGCTATATTTTATTCTGAAGAAATTCAAGAAAATATAATAGGAATTATTAATTTACAGTGCCTTTCTACTGAAAGCATTATTGACTGCATTTTAAAACAACTTAATGAGTTAAATATAAATTCAACGAATATAATAAGCCAGGTATATGATGGTGCAAACGTCGATCAAAATAGAGGAGTACAAATCTCAAAAAAAATTCTTTTATATCTACAACCACATGTTTCATCTTGTGGTTCAAAATTGGTATAATATTGTTATAATTTCTAATTTTTTTGGCTGTACCCGGACCCTTTTTAAAAGCAGAGGGCCCAAGGATTCTAGGTGTCATAAAAAATTTTAAAAATAAATAATATTTTTTTAAAAAATAATATAAATTTTATTAACTTTTTTTTATGGAAACATTTATTTTATCTTCTTTTTCTTTCAATTTTCTTCCTGGACTTCCATTTTATTAGAGATTGATATAAATTTATTTTCTAGTGTAGGTAATAATATTTTATTATGTATATATATTAATATGCTATCTTATAGAACGTTGATTATTTTGAAAGTGAATTATTTTGTAGTGCAAGTAATAATATTTTAATTTAAATGATAATGAACAACAGGTTGGTCATCAATTTGTATGATGCTAGGACAATTATTAAGTTTCAAAGATTTCTGTAATGATTTTATTATAAGAGCATTTGAAGTCATTTTGTCGGAAGATGATTGGTGCCAAATAAAGGACCTTACTAGTGTATTTGTCCCCTTAAAAATAACAATATTAAGATTACAATCAGAACAATTATGTTTATTTGATTTTTATATGATATGGATTAGATGCCGATTAGATTTATAAACAAAGTATTAGAAAACATGAAAATTCAAGAGCAACAATATTTACAAAATAGTGTTGTATACGCTTCTATATATTTAGACCCTCGATAACAGGTTTTATTGAGTATTGAGCAAAAACAAATGGCTAAAGATCATCTTAAGGATATATGGCATATGCAAACTCCATTATTTACATTATATTGAAGGCACGACAATACCTACTGTTGTAGTGATAATAATAAATAATTTGATGATCTTGAAATTTTATTTTTAGATAGATAAGAAAAAACAAATTTTCATCAGATAGAAAGAAGGATCAAATCTTTAATAGAAAATTCTCAGAAGTTAAGAGAATAAATAAGGATTCTAATATTTTAAAATTCTGGGAAAAAAATTCTTCAATATATCCAGAATTAAATATCTTATCCGTAGAACGTGGGAAATTGTCCTATCTAATTTATGTGGAAATCTCAAGGATGATATCTTATAAGATATTATGATTATGCAATTGAATAAAAACATTTAAAATATAAATTATTTCATTTTTAAATTTTTCATTTGTAAATTTATGAATGTGTATATATTGAAGTATTATAATAAATGAATGAAAAAATCTTATTTTGAGTCATTTTTATGTTCCCTGAACCCGGACTCGAACTCTGGACCCGGGTCCTTTTTAAATTTTATCCTGTACCCGAACCCGGACCCTTTTTTTTGTTGACGGGTTCGCATCCCTGCGTAAAACGCCTATAAATTTTCAAGATTTTTAGTCAAAACCAAATTACAATTTGATTGTTAAAAAGACTCCAATTGGAGTTCTTTAAAAGGGAATTATTATGAAATTATTGATTACTTTGTGTTGATCGTTTTTTAGATAGATTTACACAAGATGGCTATAATCTTCTATCATATTTTAATACATTGTCCCCCTTTGACCCTGATTATTTTATATCGGATAAAATAGCCCTATTAGAAACATTATTAAACTTTAATATGGAAACGTTACATCATGAAATGAAAATTGCTAAAGGATTATTAGTTGCAGAAGTTGAAGAAACACATAATTTTGAAAATATCCTAAACATTATGTATAAAAAAATATCATTATGCATTTAAAGAATTGTATAAATGCTATTCAGCAGCTATCATCATTATGGTACCAACGGCTTTTTGTGTGGCCTCTTTCTCTACAATAAAGAGAGTTCTATTGAGCACTAGGCAAGTAAAATTTAGTATTGATGGCTTATGAAAAATTTATTTTGTACTCATATTACATTAATAAATTTTTAATTAAAATATAAAAAAGTTTTCTATGAATGCTTAATTATTTTTTTATTTAAAAAAATATATTGACCCCTCAAGTAATCAGTTGGCCCCTAGCTGAAAATTCCTGGCTATGGCCCTGAGTTTATAAGAAACAATTTAAAATGAACAAAATTATAAAATAATATACCTAACCTAAAAAACAAATTAATTCTGATAACATGATTCAACCCAAGAATCAGGACAGTAGATTTCATGATTAGATCAAATTTAACAATATTAGTAGTAAATAATATTAAACAATGCATTATGATTTTCCAATTGTAATTGCTGTAATTTAAATTTGTTTTCAAAAATTCTGACAAGACTGGGTTTATTATTGTGCTCACCATGCTTTGAAAATTTCATTATGTTTATCTATTTAATCAATTAATTAAAAAATATGAAATGAAAAAGAAAGTATCTCCTAATTTGAAAACTTTGATTATTTTTTTTTGAGATATCAAGAATATCTAAAAGAGTTCATTCTTATTTTTTGATATTAAAAAATTAACTCATGTTTGTAAATTAAGCTATATCCAAAATCAATTAAGCTATATCCAAAATCCTATTTAAAAAAATCTAATATTTTAAAACTTTTGCAAGTTTAAAATTTCAATGAAATGGTACATTACATTTTTAAAATTTTCTAGAATTATTGGACATGTTTTTATTTTACATATAAAATACACCTCTATATTTCCCCCTTAAAATTAAGCCCCAAACCATAATATAATTACCCTAAATTATATTAGGAAGCCAGACCAAAAATAACTCATGCAAAATAATATTTGAAAGCAAAATTTTCTTGCATTGGATCTTATAGAAAAAATATTTATTAACTATCAAATGTAGAATTTTAATTTAATCAGAGATTTATTCATCAATCAATCATAATAGTAAAAAATTAATTTTTAAAAAATAATAAAAAATATACTTTTAAAATATAAATATTATAATTCTATCATTTATAAAATCCTAGTAATTTTTAAACAAAACATCATAAAAAATTAATTTTTACTTACAAATATATATTTTTTAAAAATATATATAATATCTATTAAAAACTTGGTATGGACTAGCAATTTTAATAGAACTGGTAAGGCAATAAGAAGTGTATACAGGACTGATCTGGTATTCTTCTAAAAGTTAATAAATAATTTACTCTCTCTTGCCTCTACTTCCCAAAAATCTAATTTCCTCATCTCCCCATAGTCCTCTCTTCCCAAAAAATTAGTATATGTCACAAACAATATTTTCAAAAAGGTGGCTAGTATTTTTTTTAATTACTATAATTGAAATTTTATAGTAAAAACTTTTTTTAAAAGGTGTAAAGACAAAAAAAAATACTATGAATTTTCTTATATGATATAAAAAATAATCATTAAGGTTTGAATATTATATATTTTTGTTTAAGCACTTATGCCTTTCTATATTGCTAAAAAACAGAATTATACTGGTTTCTTCTCATGCCCATGAAAAGCTCACAGTAATGAGTTTTATATACAACAGAGCAATGATTGGTTCACTCAAAAAGCCCATCAAACTGGGATAAAAAGAAGGGAAATAATAAAGTGGACCATTCACGTTTTTTGGGAAGGCCACAGCTATTTATGCATGCAAGAGGCAAAGCCACTTACTTAAATGCCTATGGGAAATAAGAGGAGCTGTAAAAAGTCCATACCCAATTAAATATAATTTATGATTATGGAAGGGTTATAATGAATATGTTAACTTATTTTGCATTGTGAGTAACAAAAAATATAAATACCATGACTATTAATAAAGCTAGTTTTTATAAATAGACTTTGAAGATATATTATTTATATTGTAAAGGAAATGTGCTATCAAGGTTTGAATCCAAATAAATTAAATAAATATGTGTTTTGATATAATTACTTTGCAAAGTCATATGATTATGAGAATATAAAAATTAATGCTAAATATCAGAATTGACATCTAACACACGTCAAATTTGTGAGGCTGAGCAATATTTATTAAGCTCTATTCGGTGATAGGAATCAAGATTTTACTTTTTTGTGGTAAATGTTTTCTAAAAACAATAGAGAACATAATTTTCATTTATTATTTTTGAGAGAATAGATTTTAATGAATGTTTTTTTAATTAAATTTATTTTATACAAATATATCATCTACCTCACTTATTTTGAAGTTTTATCGTTCAAATAAAATATTTGTTACTTTTAATTTTGTTTTAACATTTTGGTTTGGAGTTATAACTGATTTTAAAATTTATAATATCATTCCTAATTTCATCTATATTTTAACCCTCTATTGAGTACATCATATTTGAATACACATACCATAAAAATGGGTATAAATTTTGATATAAATTTTTTTACTTAATACACATGATGTATAATAGATACACATATATTTTATTTATTTCTATAGTTAATTTTGTCAAAAATGAAAGACAGCTATTAATTTAAAAATTCTAAAATACAACTTTCGAATAGTTGCATTTTTCCAATTTTATAAAATTATAACATTTCTCTTAAATTTTTAAGGAACAGGAAGTTAACAATCCTATTAAGGTAAAAGAAATGTTTTATATATAAATAGAGTGTTATATTCATTAATAGTGTTTAAAATTTAAATTTTAAGGTACGTGCCCAGATACATAATACGCACAAATGTAATATGAATTTTAGCTTTTTTAATTATTTTATTTTATACTATTAAATGCTCTTTATTTGCTGCTATAGTCAAAATGTACTGTATTCCAGAAGATAGTTTTAGATTAGGAAATTCTTGATACAGATCAGCAGATGTTGATTCTATTGGAAATGTGGTATTTTAAATATTGGTACCAATACATTCCAATTTTAAATTGTGTTTTGTTAATTGGTTCTGTGGTATAGAACTCACGTATTACTCTCCCAAAAGGGAGTATTGCTACAGCGTGAGCTAATAGAATTTATAATTGCCAGTTTAAAAAGGATTCTAAAAGATGGAACGTGGATTCACATACATGTAAATGGTATCATTGTATAATATTCCATATACTTGATATAATGCTCATAAATCATGGTTAATGTATGAGCCAGATTTTGTAGCTTTAGAGGTACCGGCAAAAGAACAGATGCCTATAAAATTTCAATAGCAGATAAGATACTCTGTAAATGTAACAAAAATATTAATGCTAGCATAAAAATATGAATATCAATTGACACCAAATATAAAGAAAAATCTAGCAAGGGGCCGACTTGCGCAGAAAGAAATAAGTGGATTTAATAACACACTGGCCAAAATATAGTAAAAAGGCGCCATGCAAAAACCCTGGGAGTAAATGGTTATGAAAGTGGTCCAAATATGGTGTATCATTATGTTTTACTACAAAAAACGATTGTTTTATATTATTTCATGAAAATTAATATAAATTTGTTTTGATATTATTTATCAAATAATAAAATTTTTGAAAAGATAGGGAATTAATGATGGTTTTTCTAAATATAATTCATCTCCCTTTATTACTTTTTCTTGTATTTATATATTTTTACAAAACTAAAATTAGAATATAAAATTAAAAGGTTAACCTATAAAACGAAAAGCAAAACTATAAATAAAGGTATAATTTGAATAAGTTAAATATATCAGAATTAATTTAATGAATACGCGTTACATACTATTTAATAACCAAATATATAATATTTTAATTTATTAATTCCTATTATATAACATCTCCCTCTTCTAAAAAGCCTTCCCATAATTTCATCTAAGCTGTCACAGAAAGCTTGTCGTTTAAGTGATTCTTCAAATCGTTTCAAGAGTCATTGTAATCGTTAGCTTGTCCCAATCGTCGGTTTGTTTAAATCGAGTTTGCACGTTGGTTTGCTTAGATCGAGTTCGCGCGTTGGTTTGTTTAAATCGTAAGTTTGTTATTCTTGTCGTAAGTTGTCTTCATAAATCATTATTTTGTCATGTAGCTTGCTCGTAGTACTTGTCGTTATTATTATCAATTTCAAAATTTATTATCATCAGTCAGTCAAATATAATTGATCAAGTTGGATATAAGAATAGGTGAAGAATGATAAATCAATAAGATTGTTATATAATGTCTTTCGCGTTTTCATTTTTTGCGTTTTAGTGTTTATTTTTTTTGCGTTTTAGTGATTAATTTATTTTTCGCGTTTTAGTGTTTAATTTATTTATTTATAATCCTGAGGTTAAAATATGCAAATAAATATTATGCACATTTCCCTCTCTTTAAAAAAAAGTTTAAATTTCACACCCTTTTAATTTAAAAAGTGTTTTAAAATAATAATTATTTATTGGATTATCATTGCTTTTAGTAAAAAATAATTTCTTCTCATTATTTTTCTAGAATTAAGACGTTTAGTTTTTACATACTTTTATTTGTCTTCAAAGTTTTAAGTTTCAAAAAAAAAATTTTTATCACATTTAGTATTATAATCACAAATATTTCTTTAAATTTAATCATATGATTTATATCTTTTAATTTATATGTTTCAATTACATTTTGATATAGAGTTTTTTTTTAGGATTTTTAATGGTTTATCTTTGTAATATTTTTTAATTATACCTAAGAATTCTTCTTTAGGCAATTCAGTTAATTTCCACAATTGGTCATAATTCAAGAAATCAAAAATACGAAAAACATCAATAGGTAGTTCACTAAGAAATTCAACTGTTAATTCATTTTTAAGTAAATATGGATTATGTTTTCAAATATGTCCATTATGATTGATTTACTTTTAAGTTATTTTATTAAGTTATTTTATACCATAAGTTATGACTTTATCTCGGCATAGAAAACTAATTTATAGTAACTTTTCTTCTTACGGGGATTTAGAATATTTTGTAAATCATCATTGGTTTCACTATATAGAATTCATAGTATATTGTTCAACTTCCATATTGGTTCTTGGTTATCACATAGTTATATATTGGTCATCACATTGAGTTAGATATTGGTCATTGGTCATCACATTGAGTTGCATATCTTAAGTTTGTTTCATAAATGGAGTAGAATTAATTTAAAAATCATATCAATATTATCTATCTTGACCATATGTTTTATTCCCAGGTAAAGAAGACCTGAAGAAATTTTTTCTCAAAATATGGTTTTCCAATCCTCACCCGAGGCACCATGAAAAGATAGGGATATAATAATGGTTTTAAATATAATTCATCTCCCTTTATTGCTTTTTTAATCTTGTATTTATATATTTTTACAAAACTAAAATTAGAATATAAAATTAAAAGGTTACCTTAAAAAGAAAAGCAAAACTAAAAATAAAAGTATATTTGAACAGAATTAATTTAATAAATGCGCGTTATATAAAATTTAAACATATTACAATTTAATAACCAAATATATAATATTTTAATTTATTAATTCCTATTATATAACAATTATATATCTTTATTTTGTAATAGGTTTGAAATTGAAAAAATATGATACTTTTTACAAGCATTGTGTATTTAAATACACATACTGAAATTTTTTTACGGTTTAAAAATTTTTTTTAAAAAAAATTATTAGTTTACTAAGAGCCCTTTAAATACAAAATATTTTTTTAAAAAATTATATCATTTATTGATATGTCGCGCAATAAAGGTTAAACCGTTCTATATTTTATTCGGTCAGTAATTTTATTGTGGATTATTTATCTTTTAAATCTAAGTTCTTCCCCTTTGATTTTATTGTATATTATTCCTATTTTTCCTTTAGAACATTTACTCTATTAATTTTCAAAAATGTAAACAAAATATTAAACGAGAATTTATTTTTGGAAGACCAAAAAAATAGATTCGTATTTTACGAATACGAATAACATAATTATTCGATTCGAAAATTCGAATCTAATTAGAATAAATAAAATATATTATTCGTCGAATAATTTTTTATCTATTATTCGATCGAATTATTCGAGATTATTCGATTAAAATAATTTATATTAATAAATATAGAAAAATAATCATATATTATTAGTAGGAATTATTTGCAATTATTCCTATTTATAAAATTTTCTAGTGGAATAATAAAGAAACATTTTATATTTCTAAATATTGTTAAAGGCTGTTTTTATTCGAATAATTCATAATACAAAATAACTTTGTTTTATGATGGACGAAGAAAGTATTTATTTATATGTAATTTATAACACATACAATTATAAATAACTAGTAGCTATCCCGTCAAGAATGACGGGCGAACCAGATATTTCTTCTTTGTTTGATGATGCAAAAACTTAGTGTTTAAAAAATTTGTCGTTGGTATATTTGTCTTCTACATTATATGTATATTATATTGATTTATCTACATTACATATAAATATACTTTATATGTATCTATACAGGGACGAGTCCATAGAAGCAAGGGAAGCATTGCTTCCCTTGATTTTTTACAAAATTCTTAGATAAACTTAATATAATCTTTATACTATGCTAAAAAAAATAAAATTACTTCCTTAAAATAATTAATATATTTTTTATAACGTTAAAAAGATTTATAATATTTTACTACGATAAAAAATTTACGTTAAAAAATTTACTATTATTTTTACTACGTTCAAAAATTTACTATTATTTTTACTACGTAAAAAAATTTACTATTATATTTACTATGTTAAAAAATGATGGAAGCAAATTTAATATTGCTTATTTTCCTATAATAAATATACTAATAAATCATGATTCATACGATATTTTTTTGGTGTAATTTTTTTATTACGTTAAAAAAAATATACAAGAGGGAAGCAAATCTAATATTGCTTATTTTTTAATAAATAAATAGAGAATCATGTTATGATATTGTTTAATTTTACGATTAAAAAATAAGCATTGGGGAAGCAAATAAAAAATTGCTTATTCTTTTATAAAAGAAAAATAAATTTTTTATATTAAATTTTTTTTCTTACTTTTTTTAAAAAAAAAATTTTCTTTAAATTAATGTT